GTTAGAGACATTATCATTTTAATTTCCAGTGGGGAGGAGGAAAACCCTGGGGGATCTAGAAACTTCTTTTTTTCATAATATGCTCTATGCCAGAAACTCCTTGAATTCTGTCTAATGCCTGACGACCTGACAAACTGGCCCAGAATCAAAAGCCAGTCGTGCCCTGTGAGCTGTTAGCCAAGTTATCCAGCTTGAACTGCTCCTTCAAAAACAACCCTCGGTGGGAAGGTGCGCGTCAACCTGTGGTACTCAGACCAGTGACATCAGCATCACCCGGGAGCTTGTTAGAAATGCAGAAACACAGACTCCATCCCAGATATGCTGAATCAGAAATCCTGGGTGATTCGTTTGTTCACTAGAGTTTGAGAGACCATTATAAGATGTTCGTTCTCCTCTTCAAATAGAAAGGATCTATACATATTGGTAATTTCTGAAAGAGTTTCTTCATCTGAGGTCTGTGCTCCTGGTTCTTCCAGTGGCTCTGAACCATCATGGAAATAGCAGAAACATCTTTCTTGTGCTGAGAACACAGTGGGAACTGGAAACGCGTCCATGCTGTGTTGGAGCAGTTGTATATCCAAAAAAGCACAGATTTAGATTTAGAGAAATCTGGGTTTGAATTCTGGCCTCATTATCCACAATTTTCTAATCTTGGAGTGGTTATTTGAGCTCTCTGAGTCTCGCTTTTCCTCATCTGTAAAATGGGTATACTAACACCTACAACATGGCGTTGTTGTAGGATTAAATGAAGACTAAACGAAAATGTATTTACATATAAAAATTCCTTGTGTAGTCCTTAACAAAATTTAGACATCTAGTGAATGGTAGCTATCTTTATTACTATTATCTTTTTTTGTAAGCTTTAGTCATGAAGTCCCCGTGTGTCATTTTAGAATGATTTGGTGTGACTTCCAAAGAATGGGAAGGGCCATACTGAAATGAGACCTCTGCAGAAAGTTCCTTACAGTGATATGTGGCAATGTGTTACATAACAGCGCTGCTCTCTAAAAGCTTCCAAGATAACTGCAGAGACGTCAACAATAAAAGAGACTGGAATGGAAATGACCCACTGTCGCCTCTGCCTCTGACACTAGCAAGAGCCTTGCCAGCTGGGTTCCAAGAGCAGATTCTTTATTACTGTGATGATGTAAGAGGCAGGGAGAACAGCTGGATTTCCAGATTCTGGGAAGAATGTGTGGCCCCAGCAGCCTTGCAAAATTATCTCTTGATTTAAAAGCTGAGTACATTGGATATGGAAGTCATTGAAAAAGAATAAATATGAAACCTCATGAAGTCATTTTCACTGAGTCCTTTTGAGAGTGTAACCACCCTTTAAGCAATAAAACATGACACACCCCACAGTAGTTCTGATTAACAGACCCTCAGGTGCGTGCTAAGGCAAGAGGGGAAATAAGAAGAAGAGGATAGGTGAAAATTGGCCGAAAAAATGAAAGGAATATTGTAGCAGCAGGACATGGGGCTATGAAAGAGGAGTTTGATTAAAGGATGGGAAGAGTATGTCTCCATTTAATTATAAAATGCACAATTTAAATGAAATGTTAGGCATTGTTAAAATTATGTAGTTACGCAATGGATTTGTATGCTTCCAGATGATTTTTCGTGGCAATGTTGTAGACATATCGATTAGTGATTTCTTTATCATTGTAATGTGGTTGCCAGGGGGAGAAAGAGAAGGAAGCTCTGTCTGGGGAAGTGATAGCCTGTCCAGACATGTGATGGTTTAGTAAGAACTGTGAAGAGATTTTGAGCCCAATTTGCTGTTTATGTGGCTACCGGAGTGTTGCTATTTGATGGATGTCTCAATGCATAGCATGGCTCCACCATACCGGCCAAAAAGACTATGATTAATAGTACCAAGTCTTTCCTCTGGTGAGTAACAATGAGTAAAGCTCTCACCTGGGAGAGGCAGATAAAGTCTAGCAGGACTGTAGACTAACATTTAAGAGCTGAACTTTTCTGTCTAAGTAAAAGCTACTGAGATTCCCTGGAAAAGTCTGTTTTTCTCACCTAGGTAAACTCTATTATCCCCACGACACGTTTTGTTGGGCTTTTCATCTTTGGGTGAGAGAAAATGATGCTGTTTGAGGATGAGAATAGAGAGAAGATTAAACAATTAATGTTTCTTCTACCACAAGAGGAGAACAAGGGAAGAAAATTAGAACAGACTTGAGAGCAGTCATCTATGCATTTCTACAGGTAAATTAGTGATACAAGGAAAAAAATAAGTAAAAATTTAAACAAAGTTGGAGGATAAATGATGGGCAAAGCTGAGTGGAAAAAGGAATGTTGATGTGGCATGATAGCAAGGTTGCCAATAGCCTATGTTTCTGTGAGGTCATGAATTTAGCCATAGAATTACTGCAGCGTGTTCTTACCAGGAACCTCAGCTGAACCCACTGTTTTTCCAAAGCGTGAGAAACTCCTTCATTCTGGTTTTCGCCCTGAGTTTATCACCCCACTGGTATTTGCAACATTGTCATAATTGTTTCTGCGGGCAACCTTAGAAAGCCTTGCTTCCTTGTTCTTTGAATCCACGCTCATTTTTTAACCATCATTTAACTATAAAAAGATATTTATTAGGTTGGTTCATTAAATGAATAAGTGAAACAAAGTTCCTTATTTTTTGAAACCCAGTATATCCTTGCAGGCCATGTACCCATGCCCTCACTCTCTCTGGTCTGGTCACTATTGATGAGTCTGCTGGGCCTGCTGGTGCCCAGCAGCGCTGAGAGCTATCTAGGGATTTGTGACCTTTTCTATCAGTTACCGCTGCTCAGCCATTAGCAAGGATGTGGCCTTGAGCAAGTCAGTTCCCTTAATCTCCTCATCCGAAAAATGAGGGGGTTGGAGTAGATGAGCTTAAGGTCTTTCCAATTCAGGCTCAGTTTCCATGACTCTAAGCAAGAATCTTTATTCCTTTTAAATTCAGTTCAGCAGACATCAGCTGATCGCAGACCTGTGTGCGAGGCATTGCACACTAGAGGGTACACAAAGTAAAAATTGTCTCTGCCTTCCAGGAGCGTATAGAGCAGGAGACAAATTACACACAGAGTCCGTAGAATGTGCAGAGGGAGTAGTGCTCAAGGATTCGAGAAGGGCTCTTTCCCTTTGGGAAACGCTTCAGAAATGAGGTGGCATTGGGATGGCCCATAAGGAAGCTATATGTAGACATTGGGAAAAGGGAGGAAACACAGGCAGGTGGTGGGAAAGAGTGGGCCTTTACTGCAGTGTAGAATGGACTATACACATCAGAGTAGGACATTAGAGTGGGGCTACAGTAAAGGAGCCTCAAATGCCAAACTGAGAAGTTTGACTTTAACCCAGTAAACAACAAGCCAAGGAGTGATATGTTTGGAATGGCACTTGAGAAAAATCAATGTATCATTGGTGTAAAGAACAGGCTAGAGGTAAAGAGAATTGGAGGAAGGGAAGCCAGTGAGGAGGCTCTCACAGAAGTCCTGGCAACAGATGATAAAGGGATAAATAGGTGTTGGGATAGAAAGCAGGTGTTGATTCAGGAAACGCAGCCTGAGTAAAAACCACAGGACTTAGCAACTGATTGGAGAAGAGAAACAGAAGAAAAGAAAGACTTAAAGATGACTCCTCACTTGTAGGCCCAAGTAGCTGGAGGAAGATGGTGTTAATGGCAGGAAATGGGAATGCTGAGGAAGGAACCTATTTTGAGGGAAAGGCAATAATTCTGTTTTAAACTTTCTGAACTAGAAGTGCGTGTGCATTATCTGATGGAGATGTGAGCTTCTCAAAGTTAGAGGCCCCATCTTATTCACCTTTTCCACGTGCCTAAGAGATGCTAGGTAAACACATGAATGAACAAATAAGCAAATGAATTAATGAACCAATAGCCATCAGTTATTTAGAATGTGAGTCTGGAGCTCAGTAGACAAGCAACAACTAAAGATAGCAATGTGGGTGTTCTTTATGGAGAAGCGATTGTTGAGGTCAGGGAGGGTGGGTGTAGGCAAAGGCTGAGGAGGAAATCTTGAGGAATATCTACATTTAGGGAACAGGAGAAAGAAGACAAGCCAGTGAAGGAGGCAGAAAAGAGAGCTGAGAGGTAGGCAGAAAGTCAAGATCCCACAGAGTCACCATGAGAAGCGAGCAGAGTTTCAGGAATAAGAGTTCATTGGGGCCCAATGTGGCCAAAGGGACAAGGCCTGGGAAAACACCTCGGGGTTTGAGGTCTGAGACAGACAGTAGTTCTGTAGCCCTAAGGCTAAACTCCTCGGGGCTCGAGGATATGAAGGAAATGGAGACTTTGTAGTGAAGGGTGGAGAGAAGCAAGGGCTCAGAAACGTGGCCAGGTCAGTGGGCATTTGAAAATAGATAAGAACTGATCACTGAAGAGAGAGACTGCAGTGGAGTCAAGAACCCTGGAAGAAGAGTCAGCTGTGAGGCCGGCGTGGTGGCACAGCAGTTATGTTCCCACATTCTGCTTTGGTGGCCTGGGGTTCACCATTTCGGAACCCGGGTGTGGACCTACACACCGCTTGTCAAGCTATGCTGTGGCAGGCGTCCCACATATAAAGTAGAAGAAGATGGGCACAGATGTTAGCTCAGTGCCAGTCTTCCTCAGCAAAAAGAGGAGGATTGGAGGAGGATGTTAGCTCAGGGCTAATCTTCCTCAAAAAGAAAAAAGAGAATCAGCTGTGACAAGGTGGAAGGACACTGCCCCTCTTCCCCCACCCTCAGCCTCCACCTCTGCTTCCAGCTCAGAACCACAAAGTCAACTCCATGTGCACTGACAGGGTGGGGTCGATGACGTCAGACCCCACGAGCAGACAGGTAGCAATGCTGAAAATGGAGCCTATTCTCCTGTCCCTGACCTGCTGGTCTCTGGTGCAAAGGTGCAGGAGCAGCCTCTCAACCAAGCCCCACAGTTCCGTCTCCATCAAAACGAATGATCACCATCACTGATTCATTTTACAGCCTTATTTTTGTTTGTTTGTTGTCTGATCCAGATGCAGCCGCTCTCTGTTCCCTGCCCCAATGAACATCTGCACTAGGCCCAAGCCTTGGAGTGACTTACCTGAAGAGTGACACCATTTATTTGGAAACTACTGTGAGTACATTATGCCTCCAGTGAAAGGCCTCTTAGTTCGCTTTATTTAATTTAAAAAAAACAAAACACACAATTGTAAAAGCAGATGAAATTTTAGATGGCTTCATCTCGTGGATGCAGCGAGGTAACGAGACTCAGTCCTGAGGCGCCCGTGGTGGTTCTCAGCTTCCAGCCTGCAGCGCCCACCCCGTGCAGCATCCTGCCCTCCTTGCCAGTTGGCTGTGCGAAGCTGGATCTGAGCACACCTTGCAGGCGCTGGTGCTATTCTGCTTGGTCATCTGTGCCTCTACCTGAAGCAGTGGCAGCTCCAGCCCTGTTTGCCTCTCACCACCCTTCTGAGCCCCTGTGTCGAATCTCCCTGCTGCTCCTCATTTCATGCCACCCTGGTCAAATGTGAGCCAGCTTTCCTCGGCTGTGTCTGCCTGCTGTCAGCTGCAGCTCTGTGCCCACGCTGCTGCCTCTCTGCTACTCTAGGGGGCCAAGGTCCTCCCCTGGGAGCTCTGGGCTCCTTCAGACACATCTCTAAGCCATTGTATCCAGCTCAGCTCTGCCCTCTGGATGCATGGCTCCATGTACCTGGTTAGTTCCCTCCATGTCAGGCATTTATGTAGGAGAAGTACAACCCTTGCAAGGCAAGGTGCAGAAGTAAGTTGGAGTAGGAGATGATGCTTGCAGGAAAACACTGATGATATCAACTATTGATATCAACTAGATTGGTATCAACTATTCATTAATGATTGCTAAAAGCAACAGATGGATATATATTTTTTAGATATATATTTTATATATTTTTATATATTTTATATAGAACTGCCAGACATTTGAATTACTTAGAGACTGTGCATGCAAAATAACTTAATTACACATTGTAAAACAAAAGCTCATTCTAGCTGTTGTATTCACACGTTTTCCCATACGGTGTGGGGCAGGTAGCGGGATGGTGTTTCACAGACATCTCTGTTACTGGAAAACACTAAACCTGGAAGACTAGCATCCCTCTTAGGCTTCAGGTAGGACTTTCACATTCGTCTTTTCTGTCTTTGGCTATTCTGGCATAAATCAAACCCAAAGGAATGCAGCCAGAGCTTTTGTTTTGTTTTGTTTGTGTTACTTTTTACCTTTAATGCTTTCAGTCACCTGCATTGTATTTGATAGCAGTGGATGTGCGGGTGATGGGCGCGCCTGCCTGGCCAGCTGGGAGATGGGGAGCATCGGAGTGTTCTGCAGTACTGACAAGTTCAAGTGATTGGGGACTAGACATGATAGAAGGTCAAAACTCAAGTTTCTTCATCTCATGTCCATGCAAGGAACCTACTTGTATAAACACCTTCATCCATCCTTAAGTTCAAGTGCTAGGCGTGCCTTGGAAATTCCCACATCTGAGTAGTGCTCTGAGTTTTTCTCCATCACAGACTAACTGTGCTGGTGCAAGTAGCACAGCTCCACTAAGATGCAGACAGGTTTCAAAGGTCCTGTATCCTTTGGGAGAGAAAAGAATCTTGAGCACTCCTACCTTCCTGTGCTGCAGACAACCTAGATCCAGACCCAGAAATCAGGACCTCAGGCTTCCTGACAATCACAGGGAAGCCCCCAGTGAATGTCTGTTCCTGCCATTGGAGTATCACCTGTGCAGGATGCCAGTGCCTGCTCTCACATTTCACAGGTCCGAAAGAGTGGACAGACTGGGTTCTAATCCTTGCAGTCTGCTTTTCAGAGACTCAGCTCCCTCATATATAAAACAGAAATAATCATAAAACTTACAGTGACTTGATAAGTGCAAAAACCAATAAGGTGAATAAAGTAGAAAAATGTAGACTGGTTACAAAAATGTGTCCCTTTCTGTGGGTTGACAGTGCCCTGCACCAAGTCTCTGAAGGTTTAGGGGTGGGTGGGGTGGGGAGGGAGCCAGTGCTAGATCTTAAGATCTCCCACTCCCACCCCACCTGGACAGCCGTGCTCAGCTGCCCTGCCTACTGACCTGGATGGTTGTGATCATTAAAAGAGATGATGTACGCACAGTGTCTGGCCCAGCAGGGGTGAGCAGATTTACTCAGTCAACTAAAATTTACTATGTGCCTGGTACTGTTCTAGGCACTAGAGTAATGGCAGCAAACTTAACAAAAATCCCTGTCTTATGGAGCTGACATTCAGTGTTCTTCCCCTGTAAAGGGCAAATAGACAAAATAGGAACATGGACACTAAGGCAGGACTGATTTCATTTTCTTTTGCTGTGTCTTTCCTTCCAGAAAGTAAAGTAGAGAGGGAAGGAGTGAAGGGAAGGGGGCAGGGAAAGAGCAGATATGTGATTCGTCTCCCTCCACCCCCGACACAGCCACAAAACCCCAGAACCATCCTCTGCCCTGATTGGTGGCCCAGAAGGCTGATCTCTCTGGACTGCATTACTCAGGCTCTCTTCTCTGGCTTCCCTTTGGATTTGGCCAAAAGGAGACATCAGCTAGAGACGGGAGAGTGGAAGGGGAGTAGGGCCACAGCATTTATTAGTGCAGCCCACTCCCCACCCCCAACTCCAGTTCTGACTGGACTTAGAGAACACCACTCATTTCCTTGCTCCTTGAGTGTAACAGTTTAAAGCTGAGATTAACAGCTTTCCACTGCTGCTAGTCCCTGCTGCCTCACCATCCCCCGAGGGTCCCTTAACCTTTTCTGTCCCTCCAGTCTAGAGTCCCTTCACTAAACTCTCTTCAGGTCAAACCTTTGAGAGTGCCATAAGTTTCTTGCCAGGATCCTGACTGATACAGTGAGGGAGAAATACACTGAAAAACATTATAAATCAGCCTTGCCCAGAAGGTTAAAAAAAAAATTGAGAGAATAAAATGTTTTAATCACAAAAGCATCTTAAATGGATCTGAAACATTAGACCGAGTAGTGAAAGGAGATGTTGTAAGAAGACGTGATCAGCCAGAGTGTCGAAGGTTGGTTTCAGTGAAGAGACCGTAGTGTTCAGGCATGATGGGCTTCTATAGGCCAAGTGTGGCTGGCTTGACCTCAGCTTGGAGAGGAGCTCTTGGCAGAGGAGCAGCACTGACAAACACGCGAACAGAAAGAAGGTGTCAAGAGGGTCATATGGTAAGATCAAAGCATAGAAGAAGGGATTGCTTATCCTAGCACTCTTTCTGCCTTTGCTGCAATTACAATCCATTTGCCCCTGCCCAAATCTAGATATTAAAAAGATTACTAAATAAAGAAAGTGCCTCCTTATAGCTGAAATGAAAAAAACCGCATAACTGATGCTCTCTGTGAAGAGAGCTCCCAGCGTTGGGCACTGACCATGTGCCATCACTGTGCCAATCACTTGGCATGAATTATCTCATTTGATCTTCACATCAGCGCTAGAGGGTGGGTATTATTTCCATTTTACAGACAAGGAAACTGAGGCCCAGAGAAATAGAGTAATCTGCCTAGGGCACACAGCTTCCAGATGGTGGAGCTCAGTTCTACCACCAACCCCCAGTGGGGTAGTTTGCTACCACCTCTCCTTTGTCCCCCTCCCCAAACACTCTACTAAACCTTTTCTGTGTATTATTGGGAAGGAGAGTAAGAAAATGGTTGTCACTCCAAAAAGATCCAGGGGGAGGGACATCATTGTTCTAAATTATCATGATCCAATGACTAAGTAATTATTTATCAAAAGGAGGTTCTGACTAATTCTTTCCTATCCAACCAGGCGAGTAAGTGAAAGGCATGTTAATGTGCAGGAGAGGGTGGGAGCCCAGCGAAGAGAGAAAATTGGGAGAGGGAAATAGAAGAGAGCACTCTCGTCTCAACAGCCCCTGGAGCCTGATAAGAGCTTACACAGATAAAATATTTATTTTCCATATGTTGCAGAAAGCATTGCCATCACTGTATGTGTGCAATATGTGCGAAGAAGTGTGAAATATATACATCAAATGCCACTGGTTAATTTCCATGCATTTAACATGCTTATTACCTACCATCTCATCAATATGTTTTAATGCATCTTTCTTTCCACATGCAATATGGTCTACTAAGGAAAGTGCCAACATCATCCACAACCTTACTCACTGCTATGTTTCAGCCCAAAACTTGTTGCCAGGGCCAGCACAATGAGAGTTAAAAGCCAGTAGGTCCTGCAGGCTAACTGAGCCGCCAGTCACCTTAAAACGCCTTCCTGGTTCTTGAAGCAGCCTTTTTCTCTTCACAGAAATGTTTGCAGTGGGGAGATGAAAATGTTTTTGTTCTCTTTGGACAATCGGGAGATATTCAGTCAGAATGTCAGAACTGACCGTTGAAAGGCAGGTGCCTACGGCCACAGTTTTGTTTTGTTTTTTGAATGCGGAACTCCACCAATGTGGCGGGAGGAAGTGCACAATGATTGGTCTGTTTCTCTGTGGAAGTGTTCAGGGTACACCCAGTTTTGCTTTGCATATATTTACAAAACATCTGCCCTTTTCTCCTTCTGAAATCCTTCCCCCTCACCAGCCCCCTTGCCCCTTTCTCCCGGTTTCTTTCTTTGTTGTTGTTGGCTTGTCTAACTTTTTCGTTGGAGCTTTCATTTTCCGGTTGAGGGGCGACTTCATCAGAGTGTATAATTTTAACATTGACGGAGGGAGGGAGAGAGGGAGAAACAGAGAGAGAAAGAGAGAGAGAGAACAAGAACTGAAAAGAAAGAGGCTGACCAGCCAGCGCTTGGCAAACCAACCTTTGGCATGGTGACCAGGAGGAAGGTTCTGGTCTGGTTGGGAGTTCGCCTCTCTGAAATGCTGCGTGGCCTCGGCCGGTGTGCTGCTGCCCTCTAAAGGCTCCAGGGAGAAAGGCATGGCCACAGAGGCTTGGCCAGCCGCCCTCAGATGTGCCATGTTTATATAGCTCTTTTTACACAACTGAAGAAGGTATTTTCGATTAATTACTACACGACTTGCTCTTTCCTCCTTAATAAACTATGGACTACGAAAGTGTGGTCAAAATAACAGCACCTGTGCATGTCTACAGACTGCACAGACTGGTCAGTTTTAGTATTTCTCAGCTCCGGGAAAAGGAGTCGAAGAGAACTATAAGAGTAAGACGGGAATTGCTTCTAAGGACAGTGAGCGGCTCTTTGTTATCTGTGCAATTGGGAAACAGGCCAGTGGTATAAGGACAAGTAAAATGATATTAGGCAAATGAGGGTGTGAACCAGAAGGTTGAGTTTTCAGTATTTTCTGTTCATAGAGGTGATTCCAATGCTTCTGTGCTACGAATGTTCTCCAAAGGTGATCCTCAAGACGACAAACAGGAGGGTGTGGTGCAAGATGTCAGGTAGGAAGCAAGATCAAATCTAGGGAAGGAAGCAAGGGCATTTATATAAAGAACAAGACAATTTTCGCAACATTAAATATAAAAGAGTAACGTTGGTCGTTTGACCATGCACTCGTGTTTGAAAGAGGGCTTCCTTAATTTCCTGAGGTTCGCAGCTAGAACTAGCCTAGGCCTTGTCTGTGAGCATCGGAGAGAAATATTTTTTTCTAAGTGATATCTGTCATTCACGTTTCATCCTGATATTTAAATGACTCAGGAAGAAGTAGTCTAGCTTTCATGAGCAAAATGACCCTATTCTTATCCAATGCCCTTCATGGATTCAGAGGAAAAGCATCCAGTCAAGGTAGATTTCATTGCTGCATAAAGAGCAGGAAATTTAATTGGGATTCAGACTACGACTATTCTCAAAACATACTTTAATTTGAGCTCTATTCCATTCCATCAACAAACATATATTGAATGAGAGCTTTGTCTAAGCCTCCCAGCTTAACGCTATGCACTAGATGGCAAGACTGGTAGGGTAGAAACCAGGCTTGTTTTGTGCCCTAAACCCATGCTGACCCATCCTAGGACATAATAAGTATTGGTGAAATGAATACATGAATAAATGAATGGTAGGGGGAAGGAGGAAGGGAAAACGAACACAGGGAATTAAAAAATAACTAGTACATTTCCTTACCCTCAGAGAGTTTACAGTCTCATGGAATGGATAAGCACATAAACAACCATTACTGAAACAAACTTTAGTGAGTAAAATAAGAGAAGTAAAAAGTATTTGGAGATTTCAGAGAAAGGTGGGAGGGAGGAGAATTTCAGAGAGAGAGAGAGCAAGAGAGAAGTTCTCTCTGGTAGAGAGGAATCAAGGCAGTTACAGGATGGAGACAACATTTAGTAAATATAAAAGATAAGTATGATTTCAACAGTTAGAGTTGAAAAAACGGGCATTCAAAGCAAGGGAAATAACCTGAGCAACGATGTAGAGCTAAGGCTGTAGACTCCCCGGGATGTTCTGGGAATACTCAAGAAATCTGAGAGTCCAGTGTGGCCAATATGCTCTAGCTAGGTTAGAGCAGATACGGAACTCAGCTTGAGCGTCGGGCTCCTGTGATCATCTCAGATTTGGTGGATACAAAGAAGTAGGACTAGAGGAGTCAGGGAGGATAGAGAACTAGAAAGCCAACAACAGTCTAAATAGGAAGCGTTAAGGGGATAGTAGTGGAAAGGGAAAGGAAATATTGATATGAACAACACGACGGAAGCAGGAGTGTCAGGACTTGACGAACTGGATTTATGGCAGGGAATGTGTATGACCTTGAGGTTTCCAATCTGATGACGAACCTGGTGACAGACAACAGTGATAGAAATAGGGACCTTAGAGGAGACAGTGGTTTTTGTAGAAAAAGGAGCTGGGCTTTAGAGACTTCGATCTTGGATACTTTCTTAAACTGACAACCAGAAACCAGCTCCTTGGATCCAGGTCCACATAGACACTCAAAATTTAGGGGTTAGTTCCGTAGTCATGGACTCAACAAACAGTTGGGAAAGCATTGTAATTTGTTGCTTCTCTTATATTGGCTTCCTCCATACCGAAAAATATGTCTGAAAGCTTCTCCTCTATTTTCGTCTTTCGATGCCATCTCTGCCTCCTGCCCTCTGAAAAAGCAGATTTGATTTCACAACCTGTTGGACCAGAAGCACAGCATGCTAATCATAACACCATATTCTGCGAGGGCAGATTTAACTACCCAGTATAACAAATTTCAACACAAAATACTCTGTATAACAAGTCCATTGCCATGCTTGTAGAAGCAAGGAAAACACGGAAACAAATCTACTCACAACAAATTCTGTACCACACATAATCTTCTACCAAAAAATAAAATAAAATACTTTCTCTGGTCACCAGACACACAGTGATAGAAAAAGGCACAGAGCCAAGGAGTTTGGGGAGAATGTTCAAGGTGTGACTAATAATCAAGTTTGGCCGGGGCCTCCAGTCCATGCAGTATAAACTAAATATTTATCCATTTCTATCAGTTGCATTGTCCTAGGGAGAGGAGACTGGAGCTGACCAATAGCTCAGCTCTTTGGCTTCCCATTCCTGACCCCAAATAACAATTGGCAACAATTGCCTTCTAATTCTCTTTACCCATCTCTTCCTCACATCCTAGACACGCAATCATACTCCTGTACTCCAGGATCGTGCACTAAAGCAAAAACTAAAGGGAATCTTAAGCTTTGGATGAGTAAAGAGTTGGAATAGAGGATCTCTGTGTGACACCTCCCCTCTCCCTACTGGAATCGAAGCTCTTCTTTGTACTTTTCATTTGCTACTTTAACAAAAACTTCCGTCACTACCCCCTCTCGTCGGTACAGCCTGAAAATTTAGATTGTGATTTGAAATTATGTGTTGATCTAAAATGAAATCTAATAACAGCAAGAAAGTTGAATGTTCCATGATGTGTTCCATGAATAGAAACTTAAAGCTGGAAGGAACCTTTAAGGCCTTCTAATGCAAGCCCTTTATTTTACAGATGAGGAAACTGAAGCCCAGAGAGGTGAAGTGAGGTGCCCAAGGCCACACAGCAAGTTAGAGGCACAGCTAGTACCATAGCTCAAGTCTCCTGACTCCCAGTCCAGTGCTCCTCCCATTACTCCACGGGTCCTGTCTCTAAGCTTCCTGACAAATGCTAGAACGGTAAACCTCCACTAGTATTTTTCCAGACCATGTTAAAACTCTTAAGGGGGAAAAAAAAGGATGCTTTCTTGGATAATGTCAGCCATACGTAGCTCAAGCTGTCTAAAGTTCTGGGACAGGGTCTTTTTATGCAGCCAACAGAGTCCAAATGTGGTGCTGTTTGCTTGGCCCATATGCTTTCATGTGTTCCCAGTTAGGCCATTACTGGAGGGAAAAAACAAGAATCAGCTTGTTTTAAAACAAGGGACATACTGGACTCCCTCCCATCCCCCCTCAGAAAAAAAAAAAAATCAAGTTATCTTTAACAGATTCTAAAAATGCCTTTTCCCAAATATGCAGTCAGTTCCTTCAAAGGGCCCTTTGTTTATTTTCAGGAAGAAACCCAAGACAGCTGAAAACCAGAAGGCATCTGAGGAGAATGAGATTACTCAGCCGGGTGGATCCAGCGCCAAGCCGGGCCTTCCCTGCCTGAACTTTGAAGCTGTTTTGTCTCCAGACCCAGCCCTCATCCACTCAACACATTCACTGACAAACTCTCACGCTCACACCGGGTCATCTGATTGTGAGTACACCAGTAAGGTGATGGTGTCTTCGCCGTGCCTGGAGCATGCTTCTCCCCTGGGTTCTGGCTTTTTTGCATTCAGAGCAAGCTGTTTCCATTTGGTCTTCTCAAGTAGCCAAAAGTAACTTGCCACCATTTTGACTCAGCCAACGTCCGTATTTTCAAAACTAGAATGTATTTTAAAACGAGGGGACCAACCATTTGGCCTCAAAAGGCTGATTAATGACACAAACCACATTCTCTTTCATAACATTAATTCAAAAAAAGAAGTTGTGTCGCTGCTTTCTAATTATTCTTTTGTCCCCGTGATCTGAATAACGGCACTTCCACCATGACTAAATTGAACAACCAAATACGGACCTCAAAAGGCCAGTTAGACACAAGGAAACATCCATTTTGAAATTACGTAACACAAGTCAGCTTTGCATTAGTTATTGGAGTCTCATGCAGCTTGGCTGAATTTCTGTCTTTCCAGTTTTTAATTTATTTTGAAGTGGTTAAAGGATAGCATAAATTTACAGAAGAAAAGAGAATGGCTTCCAAGAATTCAGAAGCCACCCAGACTTCACGTAGCCAATAAGAATTCAGGTTAAAAATATTTTTTAATTAAAAAAACTGCCTACAGGCTAAATTTGGAAATGGGCAGCTTAATGAGATCGTCGCTATTGAAATCACTCCATTGCTGTTTATTTTTGCTGTCTTCTCACTAATCTGGGAGTCACTTCTTCAAATTCTATTTTAAGAAAGTTGATAAATCACGTTTAGGAGATTGTTTTCTGTTTCTGAAACGTAACCCAATACCTCAGAGAGAAAAAACACGTATGTTGACAAAGGAAAGGAATGGAATAACTTTGGGGTACAATTGTAAAGAATATTCCTTTTAGTCTTGAGATACCCAACAACTATTCTGAACTGATCTCCATAGAGGATGTCTTGTAACAGGCAAAGTTGGCGTATTCTTCTTTAGAATGAGTAAGATAAGACCAAGAAAGTTTTATTTTCAAAAAGGATCCATTTTTCCTGTCCACGAAGACAAAAATTATTAATTAGGAAATGAGATTCTAAATGTCCTATTGTTATTATTCTGACAAAACAAATGTAGAACTCTGCAAAGAGGGCAAGAGGTGAATGAGTTGGGGAGATTCCATTCTCTGCTTGCTTCATCATAATCGTCTCTAGATAAAAGGACAAGACCTAAGGGTTGGGGTTGGGGTGAAGGGAGTTTGTTCTGCTCGTGGCTGGGCTGAGACCACACTCCAGCTGTCACTAGAAAGTGAAAAGAGAAGTAACAAGATCAAAATCTCTACAGCCCGTGTGATTTGTACAAAGTTGCTGCTTCCATAGGGAAACCTGGAGGTCAGAAGCCAGGACTGTGTTCTGTGGACTGTCGTAATAGTAACATCCTTGGCCCTTGTTGCCTAGCAATCTCCAGCCTAATAGTAATTACAGGAAGAATTGGAAAGTAACATGGCCCAGTGCCCATAGACATGTGCACACTGTCCCTATCTACCAGGAAGGTAGCCTGTTCCTGCGGAGAAGGGCCTGGAGCCCCTGCACACAGAGCTTCGTCGCCTGGCTTTCTGCCACACCTTATGGGGAAGATTGCATAGAATGGCCTTAGCCCAGAAATCCCCTGTTGCAGCAAAATCAGTGTTTTCCTGAATAGTAAAAGCCCTGAGCTTCATTTATTGTACTTTACCATGAGCATCCTCCCACCAGGCCCTGGGGTTAGCGTGGAATATGTACAAAGAACTGTACAAGCATGGTGCCGATACACAGCTCCTTGGTGACCCGGAGGAAGCCAGTGGATCTGAGCTCAGTGTCTGAATGCAGTTGGAAGGAGAACAAATAGGGAAGAGAAACCTAATCTCCAGCTGTTTAGAAAGTCATTTTGATTTTGCCATTAAGACGTGTTAGTCTTCTCAGCCCCAACCTGTTGTTTAAATTGATTATACTTTTCTCCAAATATATTTGGATTGTAGTTTGTCCTGATTTGAGCCTACACTTAGAAGAAAATTGTTTTTAGGAAAGATTCACAGAAATCTGTCCATTTGGAGATTGCTTGAGAGAAGACAGGAAAGAGGTTTATTTTAAGCTGTTAAAATTTTTGGATGCTCTTCTTGCATTCAAGAGGATTTTTTTTTTTTTTTTTTTTACTTTCAAATGTCATTCTTACCATAGATTAATTTAAAAGCCTAATTTCTTTAAGGTAAAATATTCAGTTCCTATTTAGAACTAGCAGATTTGGGGCATTTAAAAATAGTGCCCTTGACTTGCTAGTCTCTTTAACTTCAGAAAGATTCCACCAGTGTATGGTGTTCTGAGCTTTCACAAGTGCCTGAATTTTTATAGCACCTTTTCATTTGTCATGTGTTTTGCAAAATTATTCTTAGTCGTGCCTTATTGCCCATTTCCTGTCAGTCATTATATTTCTTCCCAATTTACAGATGAGAAAACTGAGAAAATTGACACCCAGATAGAGGAATGACATGCTCAGTAGTTAAGTCACTCAGACACTGAGGGGTATTTACGGATTTGCTGTCACTGTGAGCAGCCTGGATGCTCTGTTCCAAGCCCAGAGATGTCACTCCTGGCTCTAAAGGGGCATTTTGAAAATGTGCAACCACTCCTATTGGTGACTAGGTAATAAAACACAATGAGGAAGCAACCCCACAAAGGCAGCGTCAGCTCTGCATAGGAACTGAGGAGGGCGTGTAAGCCACAGTATGTTGCATGTAAAGGGCACAGACCACGTCTGACCCCATAAATTCTCAGTTGACCATCCAACCTGCTGAGCCACTTCAAATCTGGCAAAAGATCCCAGTCGTGGTCAACACAAGAAGGAATATGGTTGAGAAATGCTTTCCTTTGTGAGACGATGAGGTTAAGATTGCTACTGAACTGTGTGCTGCTCTGCACCAACAATTTCCTTTTAGCAATATTCCCCCGTTATCTCCTAGCTTGTCACCTCTTCACCGTTTCTAAAAATCTAGCGGTAAACAAACTCAGACAATGATAACAGGAGGCATTAAGATGAGTTTCAGAATGCAAAGGTGACAAAACCCCTAGGTGTTTGACACAGCAGTTACCCACTGAACGGGATAAGGGTGAGCTGAGCCGAGCTCTCCCGTCACATGCTGACACAGGACTCAATCAAATCAGGAGAGCCGATGAGGCTGTCCCGTGAGAAGCCCTTCTCGCGGACTATGAAGCTACAGCAGAGCACAGACATGTAACATATGATAGATGCGACCAGAACTTTTTCTTGCATATTTCTCCCATTTTGTTTTCCCCCAAATAAGGCTCCCCTTGAAGAGAGAAGGGATTCTCCCCGCTTTGGCATCCTCCCTACCTATGGCTGTAGATCTACCTTTTCTTTTGTAGGAAGCTGACTTCCGTGGTTACTTACCCTCCCGTGTTTTGCTCTGGCCTCATCAGCCTATCTCATTTTTTGTGTCCTTGCCAAGACACACTTACACTTTAGCAGTTTTTATTTATTTTTAATTTAACCTTTACACCTCACCAAACTGTTGTGTGGGTGGGTTTAACTTTAGCTCTGTAGGTAGCATGACTGCTGCAGCTGCACACCGTCGAGGAGACCGGGGGCTCTGCCCTCTCTCTGTCTTGCCATCCGCCTTCATCGGCCTTCCCCCTCCCAGCCCTTTGCTTCACCCGTCCAAGTCCCCGAGATTAAAAATTTTAGTACACTTGGTTCAGTTTGAACTTTTCAAGCAATTTTTCAGAGAACAAAACAAAGAGGATTTTTTTATGGCAAACTCCATTAATGCCACATTAAGGCTGACATTTTAATTACCCCAAAGTCAGGAAATGCAAAGTTCAGGTTCCCACAGCAACAGAAACCGTCCCCTTGACTGCCCGTACCACAGCCAAGTCTTTCATTCCTTGACTGCACAACACCCGGCCTGGGGACGTTGTTTTTTTGTCCACCTATGTGGAAAGGAGCTCAGCTTTTATCCTTTGTTTTTTCCTGTAACTACAGTTGAGGATATGGGTCTTTAGCTTCCCTCCCCAAACTGTCTATATGTATTATCCTGGAACGGAAGACGATTAGATCTCTACATGTGCACACGGACAGAATTAAAGTTGCTGTGGGAACATTAACTCTGATTTCCGGACTTCCGTGCCAGTCACATTTAAACCATAATGTTGTAATTTTTGGCATGTAATAAATGTGCATTTCATGTACACAGACAGAAAGAAGCATAAAATGTATTTTAAAGAGCAATTAATTACTAACTTTGTGATTAAAAAACATTTGGTGCATGTTCCTTCCCATTTAGCATCAGCTGCTGGTCTTAGCCAGGCCTAATAGATGACATACTGTGTCTCATCCTGTATCTCAGATGTACTTACTGTATGTTCCTGCTCTTCTAGATAATTAATTCCTTAGTAAAGCTGCAGGGGGAAAACAAAATGGA